GAAGGAGTTACAGGAAAGTTTCATAACATCTCTTTTTTTCAACCTCCATCTCATTATACCAAATGCCTTAAGTTATCACGGTTAAATTAGTGCAGCTTTATACTCCAGTTCCCTCCCTGTAAAACTCATCCACAAGTTTTGCTGTACTGTGCAAGCGTTGCAAGATAAGGAGAGGACAAGAGACACAATGATTAATGTCACCTCAGTATGCATTATCTATTTCACATAATCTGCATAAAAAAATATAATAATAAACAATGTAAAGATGGCCACAACAAACAGCATTATCTCATTTAACACACCTGAATGTAGAAGCCCAACAGACATCTGGTAAGTGAAGTACAGAAGTACAGACTTAAACAGACAACATTTTGTTTTTAAGTAATGATTTAGCTATTTTGTTCTGTAATCCACATTGGGTCTACTCTCCTCAAACAGAAAACCTTTACTCTTTCAACACAGACACACACATTATCTGACACGTTCAATTTAAAACTGTGTCAATTTTTCCTTTGTCCCAAATGATCTTTTAATAACATGGTAACATAGACATTTAAAACTTTTCCCATGTTTAAACTAATTGAAATCTTGAGCACAGGTTGTATATAAAGAAATTAGGTTGCAATTAAGCATAGTTATTAACGATTGTTAAATCTAATCCTAATGGTTGTGACTATTATAGACCACAGACAAGGTCAACCCCACAACACAAGAAACTAGCTTTAAAGAAAAAGAAACAAACCACCTGAATTATATGCATAAAAACCTCTTTCATAATGATATGCTCCAATCAGACTAAGCAAGTTCATCCATTTGAAAAAACAGCTGTTTCCAAACTGATATATTCAGAATATATCCCCACTCAGTAAGACATTCAATTTGCGTTCAGTAAAATTAAAAAGACTAAATCTTAAATAATTTGAAAAGACGCTCAGCAAAACATTGTGCTTATAAGCAAAGCCAAAATGTAGAAGTAATTTCAGCAATTACTGCAGAGTCCTTACACTAACTGCATAAACATCGTGTTCTGCAAATCAGCAGCAAGGTTTGAATCAGTCTATTTCAGGTTCTCAGTTAAGACCATGTCCCTCTCACTTCTATGCATTAGAAGGAAAGAAAGTTGGTGTCATCTAAAAAGGACAATCACAAAAGTAGACAACACAACATTTTTCTATTCTGGCTACAGGAATGACTGGAGAACAGAGGGAAGAAAGGAAAATGATTATCCTCTCGGAAATAAAGCATACTCAACCAGTACATTGCAAGACTATCTTCCCAGCAGCACAGGAACATAAGGCCATGAGATGCTTGGTTCTAAGGACTTGATCTGAGGCAACAAGTCACCTACAACTGTAAGATCATGTGCACAAAATCCATTCTCACTGCTCTCTTGACTGAGTAGCAGCTACTAAACACCACATCCAAAAACCATTCATGTCATACATTTGGATCTTGCTCAGACAAGTTCTGATGTCCCGCAGGGTAAGTCTGCACTAGTACTTTAGCTCAGATAAGGAGAGCACTCTAGCAACGAATCTTCCTATCACTCTGGCTAATGCACTTTTGTTTGCTGAATGAAGCAGTCCTGGAGTGCACAAATCTGGTTTCTTTCAGATGAAAGCAAACTACGAGATGTACTCTGGAGCTCTACCACTGCTTTAATGGGGCACAGAAACAGACAGAAACCAGACCAAACCCACTTCACTTGCAAATGCTGTGAGTGCAGGTAGGTACCAGGTCCTCTTCACTAAGTACTGCAGTCTCTGCATCTGCTCTCACTGGACCGCATCACTTGCTGAGGCAGGTCCAGCCCTGTGCCTCAGGATCTCCTTTCACATACTGCATGGGCTCTGACCTCTGCTGAGGTTAACTGAGCTTCTCAGACTTTGCTTTCTCCTGGCTTTCAATCCATACACAATCTGAAATTCTCCTTTCCAGCTTGTCACTTCTGCCAGTATAAGCATTCAGGTACAACCTTCAGCTTAACTTCTCTCAGTATCATCTACTCTCACCACACTGAAACACCTGCTTGTAAAGACTATTCAAACCCAAGTATGATCATCTTTAATTCAATAAACTTAATTCTGGCATTTCTTACTTTGAGTGCTGAGTGATTTTAAAATAGGAATATTGTAATAGCTTGGTCACTTAAACATACACTGCACAACAGCATGTTGAAGCCAGAAATGTGGAATCATACTGACTCTGTGCTCAAGAGCAGGTGTAAAGACTTGCAAACATACATACAGGCATATCAGCCCTCTATTCCTAACAGGGATACAGTGGGAAGGATAATTAAGCAAATATTTTCTCAGTGCATTTCACAGCCATTAAGAATCACAATACGCTGCACTAACAGAACAGACCCTCTACTCCTCAGCATCTTTCTATCTCAATCTCAGCACGGAGAGAGATCCTCAGCTCAACTATCAGTCCTCCCCTCTCATTCCAATAATCAGTTCCTTTACCTCTCTTTTGTAACAGCCTCTGATTAGCTGGCTCTTTGGTACTCTGCTTCATCCCAGTTCTATCATCACTCTCATACTTCCTGACTAGGTTCTGAATTGCAGCAAAAGATTGCTCTGCTTTTTTTCCTGTACCACAAACTTCCCTGACTGTTGAAGGGAACCATTTTTAAAAGCCCTAGGCTATATTCACAGAACCAAGTAATTTGGCATAATAAAACCAGATCAGTCAACTGAAGCACTTGGTACCCAGGCCCCAGCTTTTACAGTGTATAGAGTTTACGAGTTCTATTTCAAGTTAAATTCAGTCTGGTGCCTCAGAAGGAATGTTGTACATCCACATAGCTTACAACTGTTCAAAGTACCAGCTGTAAGCTGTTGGGTTTGTATGGTCATTCCCCAGCTGGAGGCTGAAATCCACGCAGTACGTACACAGAGAGGAGATTCCATGTCTGATTTCCTCCGGAAGGAAACTAGCATGTACATATCAAACTGCTCTACGTAGCTCAAACTGCTCAGTAGCTGTCAAGTGGGAATGATTAGAAAGCACACTTTAAAAACTGTAATTGCGTTAAAGCTTGAAGAAGCAGTGCTACTTTACCCAGTCCCATGATGCTTCTTGGTACAGAGAGAGAATATTCAGCTGGTCAGGTGTCTACTGAGCACAGGGAAATCCCAACTTTCACAACAGAGACTAAGTTTAGCTTAACTTTTCCTTGGCAATATTTAGCTTAGCAACCCTGATTCCAAAGCAAAGCCTGGGTAGAATCTGTAATCACATGAAATGTATAAGTACTGAAGCAAATGGTTACAAATTTTTGACATCGTAAAACTGCACTTCACTCTGTTTTCAGAAAAAAAAAAAAAAAAAAAAAAAAATTGAATCCATCAGCAGAACAAGTCAGACACAGAAAAATAAGGAAATAGGAGCAAATTAAAAAAACAAACAAACAAACAAAAAAAAAACACCTAGAGCAAGAAGGAAAAAAACAACCATACATTTGCTGCAAGTTCATTAAAATGAGGAAAAATGAATGTCATAAAATGTTTTTAATTTGAAAACAAAACAATAAAACCAACAAAATGTAAAATTCAGTAGGCTTTTCTTTAATTGATAGCAGCATGAGAAGGAGAACCTTTGTTTTACACTTCAAATTTTCAAATGCTCAGTACGACACTTAATTTCACTATACAAAACCACAGTCCTTTCTGGGACCCTGTTTAATACATATCACAGAGTTGCTATTGGGCTTGAATGAAAAAGATCGATCAATCCAAATCGTATCCTAATAGGCTTGAAATTACAAGAAATAAACAGAAAATGAAATGAGATATCCAAATACAGCAAGCAAGAAGACGGGAAGGAAGAATAATTCAAAATTTTAAAATAATTCTAGCCTTGCAAAATTTGGTTCGTTATATACGTAAGTATAATACTACAAAACAGGAAGCAGGCCTCAAGCTTCATGCCATTTAGCTAATTTTCATCTTCAATATCCATAATGAAATACTGCAATACAATTATGCAGGAGTAATTACAGGATAATAAACTTTTTTTCCACAATTCTCTTGCCTTCTTTAACATTTAATGTCAATCTGCAATAAGAAAGCTAATAATGATCTTTGTCTTTGCACACTGCTAATGAAACAAAGCATTTCTATGTAAATTAAAGAGCCATTTTATTCATACTATTCACATCTAAATACTTCTGGGATAGAACCGGTATGCGTTCCTCTTTAATACAGATCTCCTTCTCTCTGCAAGAGAGATGATCTTCTTTCGGAAATAATCACGTGCACAACAACAACCCCAAGCAAAGCACCACAAAGCACAGATTTCATTCAAAGTTGATTACTTGATACGAATGCCAGGTGTTTCCAGAGGTTTCCCATTCAAAGCCCAGCATACGGCAACCATCCCAAAATTCCAGATCGCGCAGTGACAGATCATAAAATGACATCTCAAGAATTTACAGGAATAGAGTGTAAGAAAAAACACTGCTTTAGACTGGCTTATAATTAGGAACATATTCTTTAATCATATGGTTTCCAGGTCTGCAGAGCAATTAGGTATACATTGAGCTTTACACAAGTAATACATTGATTTTATGGGGAGTACTTGAGTAAGTAATATCAGCTGAGCCACATTTTGGCATCCATTGAGTTTTACGCAAAGTACTGCATCCACAACTGTTTCTACACAACCTCCAACTGTGCACCTCTATTCCCACTTACAGCTGCCACCACTGCATATTTAGTCTGATACAGGAGTGACAGGAGCTGCAGCAGCAAGGTTAAGTGGAAATTACCGAGAACAGCTACCTCCTTACTGTCACAGTTACCCACATAAACAGGGGCAATTCTGAGGGTTAAGTATTAACGAGACCCAGGTCTTAATGGCCGTTAATTCCATATGGTCAGATTAGCTTGCTGCAGACCAGAAGATAAATCAAGAATGCTCACAGTATAACTGTACAATGCCACTGCACACAGACAGCTACAAGTCAGAACTTTGCATTAATAGGTAGAACTTACCCCTCTTCTGAACCCAGCCTTCCTTCACAATGGTAACATCGCTCATGATGGCTCCACTCTGAACCCCCAACTCAAAAGAGTATTTCTTTGAGTTATCAGCTTGTCTGTATGGCTTCTCTTCTGCTGCTCTTGGGAGTTTCTATTGATGAGTCACCCTGGAAGGAAATATTAGAGAAAGAATTTAAGTCTTTTTGTTTTTCTCATTTGACAGTCAACAAAACACTCTTTGTTGATGTCTTCCTCTGACTGAGCTCATATTAAAAAGTCTGCCTTTCTTCTTTCAATTAAGAATATAACAGAGTCAGATTTCTAGTTCTACAGGACATTTTTCATGAACACCTTTTCATGAACACCCATCTAGCAGAAGCCAAGTGTGTTACATTTTAAGTTATGTGGCATTATTATAAAACGCACACAATAAAATTTCTTGTACTAATGCAGAATGCTGTTAAATGAAAGTCAGTACTTCTGCACAGGTCCAACTTTGAAGTCACACTATCTTTAACCATTCCCCTATTTGTGAGAATCCATGTAATGGGTAAGTGATTCTATTATGAAGACACCGATCATATCAAAAGAGAAATGGAATGAAAGATTCTGCAAAAGCACTTAAAAGCAAAGCCTTATGATGATAATCATATCCATTAAGGCTTAACTGTCAAAATCTGTATTAAGCCACTTGCCAGCCATTCAATTACTTTTTTAAAAGCTTGAATTAAAAATAAATAAATAAATAAATAGTAAAGGCTACAGAAATACAATGAAAGTAGGAACAGCATTAAAACTATATGATACCTAGTACAAATCCCTTAAGTTTTTAAAAACCAGCTTTGCCTACAAGTAAATGAATAGAAAAACAACTTTCTAGGAACACAAACTAACCCAGAAAAGCTGCTGTTCAGTTTATGAAAGGCAGTGCGCATTCTCTGAGGGCTCTCACACAGTCAGTGCCAGGAGTGCTCTCTCCCTCTAAAGCCTGACTTGCAGAGGCAGAAGGGAGGCTCGTCCTGCAATAGGACATGCTGCTCCCAAAAGGCACAGCCCCCCTTCCAAACACCTCACTCTGAGACTACCAGCTAAGTGCAAAGAAGAGATAACAGCACTGTAACCAAACAGGAAGAGAAGTCAGAGGGAAGGAGAGGTTTCCTTTTGCCAGCAGACTGCCTCTCCCTCCATCCTTTGAAGTAAACAGCAACACCCACATAATATCAATCCAGAAAAGGGTCGGATGCCAAGGAGAGGGATTTCTGTGATGGTGGAGGAACACCCTTCTCTAGCTGTACACACAGGAACACACCTTTGCACACTGCTGGCATGGAACAAGAACAGAACAACCAGTTTAATACCACAAAACACAGCGCAGCCACACTCGTTCAGTTTATTGACCAACACACGTAAATGCATGACAGAAACAAACAACTGTTGTCCCAGAAGCAGCTGTGCAAGGAATGACTGGAGAACAGATAGGGAAATAAGCTGTCCTAATGCAGCCAAGTACAGAGTAAAAACTGACCATTAAATGTACGCAGTTTACTTCTTATTTATCATTTGAAACCTGTATTTGCAGCGCTCGGCAGCCAGATGGAAGGCTGCTTCTGTACGGATACTGTGCTGTGCACAATAAACCTTGGTATGAATATTTTTTTCAAGCGATAACAACACAGTACAGCATGGTTCAGAAATACTGAGGTACCCATTTCAGAGTTTTGCTTTCGTTCATTGTTTCAGCTAACATGCTGAAATCCAGCTGCTTAAAATTAAAAACCGCAGCGCTGAATCCATGAGTAGCACAAAGTTTAAACAGCACAGAAGGCAGCACCTCAGAGCCACCTTCCCAGCACTGGCAGATGTAGCACCCAGCCCAATGCAGGCAATGAGCAGCCCTGTGCACCAACACCACATGCTGTGTGCAAAGGAACACCATTGGATTCCTCTACTGACGTGACTGCTCCCTGCTTTAGGACTTTTATAGATTTAGGATTTCTTAAGATTTGAAAGGAAAAGCTACATACAAAGTTTTGGAAGGACAGGAGACAGCTTCATTACTGCTAATTTGTCTCTTTAGCTCTAACTGTTTACACTTTGTATTATGAATGTCAGCACGGCAGAAAAAACACAACCTGACTTTCCACAGCTTTTCACCTCACTATTCTGAGACTTTTTTTTCTGGGTCACACACTATCAGAGCTTTTGTTTGTGCACTTCAGCGCAGTGATAAGCAAGTCCGCCAGCTGTGCCTCAGCACAGATCTGAAAGAGCGAGGCACAGGATTGACACAGGTCCCAGCTCTGCCGTTCTGACAGCAGCACAGCATCAGCTCCTCCATAAACACACACACCTTCACAAAATCTGGGCTGAGTGTCAAAAAACAGCAACATACAAACAAACAGCTGCAACGCAATGCACATGTAGGCATGCGTAGTGGTTGACAACCCTGCCCATGGTAGAGAGGTTGAAACTAGATGACCTCTGAGGTCCTTTTCAACCCAGGCCATTCTACGATTCTATGATAAGCACATTCACATCCCAGTATCCAACTTCAGTACGGCTTTCCTAGAAGACATTCCATGCATTCTTTAAGACATGAGGTGGCACTTTTTTCAACTATAAGAACAAAATAAGTAAAGTATTTAGCTTGGGGTGGCATGCACTGCCATTTGTTTTACCCTTCCAGCCACTTCAACACACTTCCCAACGTCAGCGTGCTCTTATGCAAAGTGCAATCATTTATTTTTATTGGTAGAGACCAAGCTGTAAGGAATGAACTTCTACACTAAGTAGCCATGATCTTGTCTGTCCACAAACGGATCATAAAGTCCACGATTTCAGCAGAGACCCGGTTTTAATGAATTAATTTATGCTTAAAGTTCCCTATTTACCACCAATCATGATTAGGCTAGTATTATTTAATCAAAGTCTGAACTGTGACTGATTTTTATGTCAGCTAGTGCCCCAATAACCACAAATGCACACTTGCAGGACCGCATTCTACTATTCCCATGAACTGCTATATTGAATTTCAAAGAAAAGAAAACAAAATACAAAAATTGGATAAACACAAAAAACTGAATTATCTCCAGTTCAGCTTCACGGTATTACCAGGAACAACTTCAGTAAAATTATCAACAGTTGTACATGGACATAATGGTTGTAAAGATTGCTCCCTTAATTGGTAATTGAAAGTTAATCCGAATTACATAGGAAGTTGTAGAAGATAAATTGAAGCATTAAAAGACTAATGAAAATAAAGGTTATGCATTCACACTGCACTTTCAAGAAACCATTTATAAGCATCTTTAGCAATACCCCTTATTAAGTTCCCTTTAGATTTTCTAAAAGCTCTATTCTCTTACTCAGAAAGTCATCCAGCAAAGATTTAGAAGAACAGATTCTTAAAAACTACCTACTACAATGACAAAAAGTAACCTGGATGAAAAATAAACATACAGACATATCGCTGAAGATGTACTGGTGCATTTCTATAGACATAAAGCAGTTCCTACAACATATGGAACAAGAACTCTCATATGAAAACAGCATTCCATCTATAGTTCAACTATTTCAAGAAAGGCTACAGAAATGTTAATGCTGCACAGCCTGCATAGAACTTCAATACTTGTTAGCCACCAAATCTGCTCTCCTGATGAAGAGCTGTTATAAATTCTACAGTTTCCCCTGTTGCTACAGGATGAACCCACAGACATGGGGAAAAATGTTTAAGAACTGAACCTGAAGGTTTTTTGCACTCCAGCTGCTTCTACAGGGAAAAACTTAACTTGTGTAAAATTCATGTTCTAGCAACTGAAGAACAGGTTGAATTGTTGAGTGGGTTTTTTTTTCAACTTTATCAAACAAAACTCTTAGAAGATGCAATTCCAAGAACATTTTATCTTGCAGATTGTATCAGTCACTTCTACATTAAAAAAAAAAAAAACTTACTGTCTGCATGTTTTATGGTGCAGATATGACAATTTACTCAGTCATGACCAGTTATGCACAAAATGTGCATCATTCTTAGCATCTGGTAAAAAATGGTGAGGATTTTTCCTATCTTCACTGGAAAGCTATTAAGCCACTTTTACCTTGTTACAGAAACCAATTCAGCACACTTCTAAAGAGCTACTGCTTCACTTTAAGTTTCTAGCTTTTAGGGCTGCAAGGACATCTTCAACAAAAGTCAAGCAGACACTTCTACACACGGCAGATCCAACTGAGACCCATGGTTTTCCCAAGCATGGTGAAAAAACAACACCTTTTCATCCCAGGCAGAAAGGAGCAAGAACAGCGATTCAGGTCTACGCTTAACAACTACTACGTGCAAGTGAGTAATCATTGAGACTCGTAAGAGCAGACAACACTCCCTTGGAATCTGGGCATCCTCCCATTTCCCCAGTGACAAGAGACAGCTGAGTACAGAAGACAGTGCCCATAAATTCACTGCAAATTGTATGATTCAGGTCTCCGTTGTAAGAACTTTCATAAACACAAGCTTCTACTTTCAACAATTTTGGAGCTGAGAATAAACAGATACTCTCACATTTACCAGCTTAAGCTACCACAGGGAACACCAACAGAATCAGCTTCACCTCTCCCAGTGACTATCCCTAATCTGCCTGTACCACTCGCACCCCTCTCATAACATACAAGGGAACTACTGTTTTCCCTTTTTACATGTAACCATTTGTTAAACACAGTGCTTGGTGGGAGGGGAAATCAAAAAGTGAATCTTTCTGATTCACTCTGCCTGACTCACTGAGATTCCTTGCTCTTCAGTGTAAGCAGAGCCAAATCTCATTTCTCAGAAAGGTACACTGGAAAATTATGTGCTTTGCACAGACAAAACATAACACTAAAAGGCAGATCAGTCATCCTCTAGTCCAGTGACTGTCACCACCCCCCATGTTTGTTTCTCTGCTTTGGGGGCATTTTTTTTTTCTACCAGCAGATCACATTCTTAAGAGGCTTTCTCAGAACTAGGTTTGAATGCTCCAACACAACCAAACAGACTGCAGTAGTTTCCAATACTCACTGCAATCACAGAGCAAGAAATTAAAAAGATAAGGATCTAAACTAAAAACAGAACTCTCTTTAGGATTTGATGTTGAGATCCAAGTTTCATTCGTACGAAAAATGCATGCATATCC